CCTCCCTCCCTTCCTTCCTTCCTTCCTTCCTTCCTTCCTTCCTTCCTGTTCTGACTGCTAGTGAGAGATTTCTTTTTCAGAACGTTTTGGCCAGGCACAGTGGCTCACATCTATAATCCCAGCACTTTAAGAGGCTGAGGTGGGTGGATCAACTGAGGTCGTGAGTTCAAGACCAGCCTGGTCAACATGGTGAAACCCTATCTCTACTAAAAATACAAAACTTAGCTCGGCATGGTGTCAGGTGCCTGTAATCCCAGCTACTCAGGAGGCTGAGATAGGAGAATCACTTGAACCCAGGAGGTGGAGGTTGCAGTGATCCCAGATTGCACCACTGTGCTCCAGCCTGGGTCGCAGAGCAAGACTCCATCTCAAAAAAGAAAGTTTTAATTATCCATTTATATTTCCTTAATAGATACAGGATTACTCTTTGTAAAGTGATTTTCAATGTTCAGTCTTCCACTCCTGATATCGATCATTTGTGTTGTCTTTTTCCACTGGTCAGTCTTGTTAGAGGTTTATCTGTTTTATTAATTTTTTTCAAAGTAGCAGCTTTGGGTTTCATTATTTTCTTTTCTCAATTTCATTAATGTCTACTCTTATCTTTATTATTTCCTTCCTTTTGTTTATGATTCTGTTTTATCTTCACTAATGGGTTATCATTATTTATATCTCTTGAAAAATTTTTAGTTGTTGACTTAAGTTTTACAATACCCATCTTTAATTAAAACTTCTAACCTCGAATAATATGATACTACTTTATATCTAGTCTAAGAAACTTATAAAATATGCAAATTATTCTTTTCTCCAACATTCTTGTGTCATTGGTGTCATATATTAGTATTTTATGTATGCTATGAATACACAATAGCTTGTTACCACTTTTGTTTTCACTCCTTCTTTTTTGAAAGTCAGTTATCTTTTAGATTAGGAGTTGACAATTTTTTTTTGTAAAGGGTCAAAGAGTAAATATTTGGATCTTATAGGCCAGAAATTCTGGACTCTGTCATAGTGTAAAAGCAGCCATAGACAATACAAACATGAACTTCTGTGACTTTTGTCCAGTAAAAAATTTTATTTACAAAAACAGGCAGTGGGCTA